TTGTTACTACTAGTAAGGCACCTGTTACTACTAGCGTGGCACTTGTTCCTAAGATGACAGGTCTGATCGGATGTTGGCTATGTGACCGAAGTGCCAATGTTCTTTTGTGGGACCTGCTGCCTTGGATGTTGCAGAAGCAATGGTTGATGGTGATATTATTCATTTGGCTTGAAAGTCAATCTAAGAGCCAGAACATTGACGATGTCAAGGTAGATCTTAATCCCACCTCACATGATATAGACCTTCAACATCTCAGAGTAAACTCTCGGTTCAGTCACGAAGCCTCAGTAATTTGGCCTCACAAGCTTCATGTTGGCTTTCTTGCACTTTCAGGATACAGAATCCTATGCCTACGCTGCTGGTGCTGAGCTTGGAGGTCAACCTTTTGAGCAGGTTTGCAAGGTCAAGACTCAGTTTTTGCTTGGCAGGATTTCAGGTGCGAGAAATTGCCAACTTCTTTCATTGGATTCTTTTCATTGTTTGATCTGATTTTGATACATCTTGTTGCTATTTTGCCTATGTATATCCCCTAAAACCCCCTAAGTATGTCTTCCGGCATGTGTGGCATTGTCCCTCTTTTCCGGGCACCAGCGGCCGGATGGAATGCTGAAGCTCTATGTTCAGTGTCGCTGAAAGACTGATCAATCCCCAGGACCGTCAAAGTGACCTTTTGAGATCCCAGAATGAGGCCTTGAAGAGTGAGGTCACTGAGACACGTTTTCGAGGCACTGTGTTGTTCATGAGCTGGTGCCTTGGAATTGTTGTGGCACGGTTTGCTCATGGCTAAAGCGCCTTGCACACGAACACGTTGCAGCTGCCCAACCTAAGAGACCCAGTGGTATCATTCCGTGTGGTAACCTAGAGATCTCAACTCCAAAGTTGTTATTTTTTCCCAACATAGTGCTGTAAGTCTATGTTGTACATCTGCAAGACAGGTTTGGGTTTTAGGCACGAACCACACCAGGTGGCGTTGCCCGTGGGAGGCAGAGGAAGCCGCCATGCACAATAAGGGCAAAGAAGGAAGCTCATTGCTTTGTTTGGGATACAGAGTATCACTTCACATATCTTCACATCATGGTTGGAGGCCATAGCTATTAAATGGAGGCCATAGCTATTAGGTTTCTCCTGATACAACCTCTCAATCAGAGCATTTGGGACTGCACTGAGGTGGTGGCTCGGCCTACCTTCGGCTGAGAGGGTGGGAAGCACCCAGTCGGCCGAGTTGAAGGGCTTCTATTATATAGGCGGTTCATTCATAAAACACGTTAAACCACCATGAACATCCTGGTTCTTAATAACGTAGAATCTTGATTCAAAACAATGAACAACAAAACCTTTCTATGGTCAAATCTCTTCGTATGAGGGGCTTTTATTGTTTTGCTTACAAAAAATATCATCGATTTTGCCTTGCAGAAGTGTAGGAGAAGAGATGACGTTGTTTTGTAATGTGTTGTATCGGGTGCGGTGGTGTTATCAGGTTTCCTACGTGGGTTGCGTAGTTCGTGGATCCGCGGTCGAACTCTTGGATCCCGCGGTCGGACAGACACGAGGCGAGGCGAGAAGAGCCTCGACCCAAAGATTTACTATGTTATTATGATCTAACGATCCAATACCAGGGCGCCTGAAGTTGCCAGGTTGGTGAATGTTAGAGTCCAAAATGAGCTCGAAGAGAACCAGCTGCCTCTCAAGAGAATCAAGAACTGTGCAATGGCTTAGCGATAGGGCACACAGAACAGTTCAGCAAACCATGAGAAAAGGGACATAGACTTACAGCAAACCGTTGGATCCCTGGGTTTGTGAAACCACCCTCAACTATGGAACTGCATGGATTCCAGCTCATGCCTTTTTGCCAACATCTCTTGTGGGCCCGAAGGTTCACCTTGGTTCACCTTCTCACTCTTCGTCCTAAGGCATGTGAGTCATGGACGAAGACAAGGTCAGACTTAACCGTGTTTGTGTAAGAGAATTGGATGAGCGGTTGGATGTGTTATACTCTTTGCAGGTATGGCGCTTGGCTCAATTATTAATTGCTGTTCCCTCAGACCCAGACCCATGAACGCCTACAGGAGCAAGTCTGGCAGCACTTTTGACCCCCCAAAAGGCATTTTTGTATCTGTGCAAAAACATATTAACCCATCAAAATCTATCAGAATCAGACTCCATCTGGGATTTCCTTCTTTGATCTTGCGACTCTGTCGACAACGACCTGTCGTGTTTGAGGCTTCCATTCAGCGCATCCACTTCGGATGTGGCCACCTTCTTCGCGGAATATGGAGTCCGGTGTTCCCAGCGAAACAGAGTGCCACACAAACACATGCTGAGCTCGCGAGAGCGCAGTTCAGTACTTGTCCTGGTCATGTGTTCGCACTTTACGATAATTACCGCGGGAAAGAGAGGACTCAGGACCTGTCGTCCCGGTGGCAGCCTTGACACATCTCAAGAGTTTGCAAGATGTTCATTCTCAGGAGGACATGGGTGGATGTTTGCACATCATTAAGTCTGTCATCAACAATGTCAATGCAGCATTGAATATGTAGAGTGTAGACAACTCAGGCAGTGGCTTGAATGAACATGTTCATGCAGTTTGTGTGCAATTCTACTGCTTATATACACATATACACATGGGCGCGTTGTTGTACTATCTCTTATGCTTTTCACGGGTCCCCGAAAAGCACGCGCGCCCATCCATATATATATATATGTATGCGTTTCTTGTTGAACAAGTAACTATATGTTGATATTTGGGTTATTTACAGTGCTGTATAATTGTGGGAGGCGGGCACCACTTGGACACACATATGTATATAGCCTAAATGTTCAATCGGTTTTGACACAAGGGAGCAGGCATGAGAAGGCCCTATAAGGACTAAAAGCGATTGTCGTGCTGGTGCTGGTGCTGGTGGAGCTGGTTGTCAAAACCTAATAAGCAGATAAGACTTCAAAAGCATAGAGAAACATCCCGACCCTCCAATTTAGGAATCGCACCAAATACATTGACGTGACAGCTAAAACCATGACTTGATTGACTTGACATGATTTCAGTGAATCTGCTGAAGGAACATTAGCTAGTGTGATGGGGCTTTGATTCGATCCACAAAATCATGTGGTGTGTTATGTGTCAACTCTTTAAGGTCAAAACAAACCTCTCAAGAACCCCCGCCAAAAGACCTCTGGCCTTGGCGTGTCCGACACTGGCACCCTCTTGACACCGGCACCCCTTGCACTTTACCTTGCAAAATTCATCCCGTGAAAGCCCGGTGGCCCAGGTGTCAGAGGATCAAGTCATCCTGGGATCTGAAGGCGAGGAGTTCGATCACGTCGTACACCGAACGAAGAGGTTGGATCCACTTTTTGAAATTCAATGCATACATGGTCGGGGTAGACCGGAGACAGTATGCAAGTGTAGCACTTTTGGGATGTGTCCTTATTCTGTGTGATTGAATTTCATTGAAGCGTTGACATGTTTTTGACCATGATTGTGAGGTGAGAACTAGTTCCGGTTTCTTTTTGAAGCAGCCTTGTGACAGTTCAGAATCTTTGCGGGAGGTCAATCTTGAAATCTGCCCTCCCAGGGCGACGACTGGTCAACCATACCTCTGCCATGACGACCGAACTTCGTGACCCATACGCTGATCATACCCGCTCCGATTTCATGATCTCGACGGAAGCTGAGAGGAAACTATTGCATGGTTTCAACATGTTTCAACTACCTTCCATAAATCAAGAAATTATATATAGATCCGATGATTTGTTTCCAGGTTGCTTGAATATCGCTTGAATATAGGTTAAAACCAGCCGAACTCAGAGCTTAGAAGGATGAGCGTCGCTTCTTTGCGACCAGGGAGTTTCTTCTACCACTTCGCTGTTCGCTCGAAAACTAAACCGTTCCTACCAGACCTCAGCTGCAGGGACGAACAGGACCGCCGTGGGTCAGAGCAGCTCTGTGAATTCCGGGGTCGTCACCTCATCACGTTTTTCCTCACAATCCTGGAAAACTGAGCAGCGTTACATATCTGAGGGAGTGCAGAGGAGTCGACCGAGCCGTGTTTTGAGCCACTGGACTGGACTCCCTCAGATTCTTTGTGGAGCGATGTGTCCTGCATCCCGTCGTTCGGTTTTGGAGCAATCAGTTCCACCGAGAGAGCTTGACAGAGGTATATTGGTTTTCTCGGCTCGGAAGAAAGACCAGGACTTGAGAGGGAACTCTGAAAAATGCTTCCAGGACATAGATTGGCATAGATGTTGGAGGGATTCAGCTGGTTTCTCCAGCGGGATCCATCAAATATCTGACCGATGGTTTGAACCCTGTTCCATGTTTTACTTTGAAATGACAGATTGAAACCACCTGATCACATTCTAAGGGAGTGTTTGGATCTCTCCAAAAACCCTCTCATTCTTTCACCCCTCCTTTCCCATGCCCATGCTGTATTCACCCATTCGCTCAGGGGCGACGGGGCGGCCCTCGGGGGAAGCCTGGGTGCAATTTCCATCAGAGGTGCCGGGGTCTTCTCCTTTCCACTTGGGCCCTGGTGGGATTTTTTACCAACACCCTTTTGACTAGCTTCTTGCTACTAGTAATGCCCCTATTCCTATAGTTTAGTAGCGATGCCTTTGGGGGGATCTCCGGGTCTTCCTCTCCCCGAAATGCCTCGCCGGTCCGGATGAGTTCAGGGCCGGGTCTTTTTCTCCGAGGAACAAAGGGGCGCACCCGGAAACGACGATGCTTCGGATTCCAACGGAGAGTTCTGAACTTCCGATATCGTTTTTTGGTGGAAGTGGCGGAGACCGGAGGGTTTTTTTTGTGGCGACGGATTGCACGAAACCATGGGTCACTCATGTTACATGTTGGTCAAACCCACTTCACTTGAAACCATGAAGTCCGTGAACCTCAGTGAACCGAACAGTGCACCCATAAGGAGACCCTACTGGTCCCTTACTGCACCCTACTGCAGATTCACTGCTCAGCCATGCCGCGCAAGACCGGGCTCACCGCGCGACACCGGGCTCCGCGGCCCGAGACCGTGTCAAGTTTGTCGGACTTCGCCGGGAAGCGCCAAATGGCTAACGGCAAAATGAAAGAAACAACAGGATGAGGCTAACGGCGGCTAACGGCGAATGTCCAACCGAATTTCACAGGGTTGTTTGGTTCTTGATTTGCACGTTTTTTCGTCGTTCCCCGCAAATGCTTGGCTTTGTTCCGTTTTCTCCGTGTCTCGAAGTAGAATTCATCAGGGCTGTTCTCTCTCAGTCTCTCGAGAGAGAGACACTCGCCGTGGACGCGCACGTCCTCGGTGGAGCCGGACGTGGGACCCCCCAGCCGTCGGTGGAAGGCTTTGGCTGCGCAAGCCAAGACAGCGAAGGCAGACGAGTTGATGACGTTGGGTGGGTGGAACACCAGTAGCACGACCTCTCGGCTTGTGGTCACATCTTGGGGGATTGGTGGTTCAACCAGTTTGTTCAAGATCAGCTTGTAGAATACAGGTTGCACGAGGTGAAGTGGCCCTTGCTACTCCTGGTTCCGATCTTCAGTAGATGACTCGAGTTCGCCATGAACCAAAGATGATGCCCCAAGCAGCGGATGAGCCTGTCTGAAACAGTTGTTGGAACTTCAGATATTGGGTCTGACCTACGACTGCGGATCGCAGTGTGCATGATTGATGATTGATCTTATAACCACAAGCGACCAGCAGATCGATTCACATTGACCCCGACGCCGCGCAGGCCGAGATTCTTCTTCCCCCAAAGTCCTCTGAGCATCTTCCAACAAGTCCATGAGTCCTTTGTTTGTCAAGGTATCACGGTCTCAACCCCCTTTGTCCATGGTCGATGGGAAGGCTCAGTTCCGAAAAAGACACGCGTCTTCCTCTCGTCCTCGACTCCGCGAGTCGCGTGCGTTCCTGAGGATCGTCAAAAGATTGGCACTCGTTATATTGAGGTGCCGGTGGGGCAGCAGGTTGGCCATGCGCTTTTGGGCGAGCTAAGATATCACCCAACAAAAGCTATACGGCACGGCATGCCAAGATATCAATATACAGTATACAGATGTATACAGTATACATATGCGTACTCCATCAGTCTCAGAGGCTAGAAGTCCGTGGTTGTAAAGATCTTGTCGTTCATTGTAATCCAGATTTGAACAGACACCGAATCTGAATGGCTTTGAACAGCTATGTGTTTTTGTTTCGTGTTCCCATGAGGTCCCCATGGTGGGTCACCCGCGATAATGCCATACTATCGTTGTCATGCGCTTGTTGGCAAACAAAGCTTGGCTGGGGTACACAGTGGGCCTTTAATGGTCCGTGCATCTCAAGAAAGATATGCTTCCGAAGCTAGACTGCCTTTGTGTGTGTATGTCAGTGTTTGTGTTGAAGTAGGCGCCAGCACAATGGGCGTTCATTTTCCAGTGGTCATCAGAAAGTGTACCAGAAATAGACTGGTTTGCGTCCAGAACACATCAGGCTGGTGTCCAGGTGGCAAGTCCTGCTGGTCCTGCTTCTCTGTTTTTTTGTTCCAATTGATCAGCACTTGTGATTGCTAGTTTGAACATTTGAACATGTTTCTCAAAATGAGGAAACTCCAGCCCAAACCAGGCTGTTTCCCAGTCCACAGTCCACAACAGTCAAATTGCATGGATGGAGACGCCGGATCTGTGACGCCCTTTGTCCCATTTTGTCCCTATGCCTTGGATATCACAGGCAGAAGCGTGCTGATCGACAGGTCTCCAGGACTTGGCTTCAAGAAACGAAGGTCTCCAGGCAGAAACAAGTGGAGTCCAACCTAATAGCAATGGCCTCCACCCTACGGGCGGTTTGATCCTATGTGGTCTTGGTTGTAGGATCCCCATTTGGATCCCCACAGTCAACCCATTTGGATCCCCACAGATTGCCTCTATGATCGTTTCGGAAAAACACCCGCACTCACATGGTCAGCATTTTCTGCACCACCGGCACTTGTGCTCAGATCTTCCCCTCATCTGCGGCAGATGCCGGAAAGGCAAACGCGCGTCCTACGCAGGACGCATCGGGCTGATGAGGGGTTTGCCTTTGAACTGTGACGTTTCTCCAGGGTTTTCTAACATTGAACCACATATACAGATAATACATGATAATTACTTTTATATCATTTTTTAACAAATCATGTGTGCGTGTCCGACTCAAAACATATTGCCGTTGTGTTGCCCGATGCAGCCCACAAATGGTCAAACATAAATTATCAGATCCCATCGTGCTCCAACTGTACCGTTGCGCAGAAGCGCGGTCGCTTCACGGTCACTGCTTTTTCCCGGGTTCATGCCGCTAAAAAAACTTGGACTGGTTGAAAAAAAGTACGTTGGACATGACTAGCGCTGTCCCTGGTTTCACCCCACGGCACTTGTGATACTGTATATACTGTTCATATCACTTGTACAGTACCCTTTATAGTCTTAGTTTGCATGTTTCAAACATACCCCCAGGGGACAGTGTGATGGAGGAGATGATGTTGGAGTTCATGTTGAAGAGTTGGTTGCACAGGGCTGAAGCAACGGAATGTCCAGACTCTGGCCTTTGACTCAAGGGTTGAGGGCTGTCGAAGCGCAGGTTGAGTTCCCGCATCCTTGCAGCTGCAGCAGTCACTTTATGGGTTTGTCATGCTGTTGATTGCTTTCTGTCCCTTAATGTTTCTTTTGGTGTTTGTTGGAAGAGCCCATGATTAGAAGGTAGTGACATCAAGTGGACACATGTACACGCAGCCAAAGACTACGTGTCCAAAACGTCTATGCCTGTGCACGAGTTTATTGAAAAGCAGCCACCGCGTGAGTTGGGTGCACATGGTTTCATCGCCAACCAATGTATTGGATTTAACACCCTCTTTATCAACGTGTGTTGCAACATGAGTTCATACATCCGCAGCATTTTTGTAGACATCATCTTTGGCCCCACACACGCAAACGGGCATAATATGTCGATGTGTGTTGGAGACAGGAAAGACTGCAAGTCCATGTAGCTATGCCTTCTTTTTCTCAGGAGTGCCTGGGACTGTGAGCTAGGCAACTACTTTTGGGCTATGCTGTTTGTGATCGGTGCAAATGAGGAAGAAACTCCCATCAAATTGGTTACTTTTATGGATGTTTGCTGCATACGGATGTGGCCGTGTTGACCAGGATCCAACCTTCCGCGGTGGTGGAAAAGGTGGTGGCAAGGATGATTGGAGCTGGTGCCGCGCCGAGTAGAACACGTTTAGCTGACTGAACTTTGAACAGAAACGTAGATTTTGAAGACTGCTCCCTACTGTCAGGTAAATGGATTTCACACCGTAGGTGCTCACTTCAAGTAGTAAGTAGTAGCTCTCCGAATATAGGGTTTTGATTCTTGATTTATCAATTTCCCTGTGCTAATATTAGGACGCTTTAAATAACGATCTGGTTTTGGCATTCGATTCAGCTGAACCAACCGGGTTCTTCCTGCCCCGGCCTGTGTTATACAGAAGAAAAAGCGTGACACTCTACTCCAAATTGTGACATTCAATGATATTCAATGATATTCAATGCATGATGATCTTGATGTACAGTATTTTACAGTATTTTGTTCAATTTGTGCGATCCGGTTTGTGCTGGTTCTTTTGGGAAGCTAAGGTAGTGTTGGATCCGTTGCGTTGAGGTTTGAATGCTGTTCAACTTCTCAAACGACCCATTATGTACATGCATGTATGTTGCTGTGGTGTGAAAATCCCCGTCGGTTTGGACGGTTGAGAATTCCGTTTCACGTTTTTCAGACGGGCTGGGTTTTCAGATCACATTTGGAACGTGATCATCCAGCAGCGTCTTGAGAGGTACATGGCCAATATGGCGACGATGGGTTGGTATGCAGCCATGGCCCAGCAGGGCAAAGGTGGAGAATCTCGGTCACGTGTGAGGGAACGTGACGTATGTGTCACGTTGCATATGTTGCATGCACCATGTTTTTATGCGAATGCTTGTGTATTGCACACATATATACTGTTATACACATTTGTGCTTTGGCACTCTTGAGATATGCAGCAACCTGATTTTGGGGTTCTAGCCATCAGGTTTGTATTGGCCGCACGTTTGTTGAGATCCAATCAAAAACCTTGTAGTTGGCAACGGTTTCAGTTACCTCACAAGAGCTTCGAACGTTATCTCATGGATGCTTGTGGGCTGAATCGAACAAAAAAGCACAGGACCCTTATGGAAGATCCTCCTGCTCCAGACAGTTGGACTTCATGGGCCGATATCAAGTGAGAAGATATGAGTACTTATAGCTTGTTCATACCAGAAGACAACAAGCATGAATGCCTATTTTTGTGTATTTCCCAACAAAGAGATTCCCCCCATCGTCCGAGGACCGCTACCAGCCGTACTGATGCCGACCAGCTGCGCTGAGGGGTTGACTTTGGCCGCTGAAGGGATGCAAAGGGCTCTCATCAAAGCATCAGTTTGGCCGCTAAGGCGCCAACTCTGCTCGGCGTGTCGGATCCCAAAGTTCAAGACAGATGGGTATGACTCACGGTATGACTTACCATAGGAGCTGAAGGGGAGCATAGGAAACTGCAGTTTCAGGACGTGTCCAATTACAATGAAAGGCTTCGGTGGTAGGCCAAAACCATATCATTTGACATCCGAAGCAGTCATACCTCTCACCATTTGCCGTTGCTTTAGTCACTTTAGTCTTTGCCTTGACACATGATATGTTGCGTATACAGCACGGAAAGCAAACCACATTCCAGGACATGTATATGTCTGTGCACATGCCATTGAGCTGATTGAGTTTCCATCTTGACACGTCAGGAAATCGGAGACCAAATGTGGAGCACACCAACATCTTTTTTTCCAGTGGTCAATATGTTTGATGGTTTGTGACAGGTTTAGATATGTATTGTGCTTGGATACAGCTAGCTGAAAGATGTGAAGATTGAAAGAAACCAGAGCCTGGCATCCCAGTTGAGGCCTTTGGCAAAGGATGGCCCCAAGTTGGAGCTGAAGAGTCCACAATCGGCACAATGCTTATACTTATCCCTATGTATACCAACATCATCCAGCATGGGAGGTTTATATTTGCATATCCCTAGTATCCGTACCAAAGTTCTATCTATGAACAGAGTTCCTGTCCATCACATACAATTAGTCAACACCAATCCACTCCCAATGGCTGCATTGACCAAACAATCCGGCATATCGTCTGGGCACTGGGAACCTACAAGAATCACCTACAGCATCCTAAGGAATGACAAGCTCTTACTGCCGTTTTCGTACCGACCAATATTTGTTTCATCCGCCCAATTGGGTCATGTCCTTGTGACGGTATATGATCAATTTGCTGATCAGATTTCCTCTGGTCTGGAGGCTTTTTGGGGCCAAAAAGGGGAGCGTCTCTGAAGGTCTACGGAGGTCGGCGCTGGTCAAAGCATTTTGGATCAAAACCACTGAAGATCATTGAAGATTGATCCGTCGAAGGACATCCTCGCTTGTTTGGTTTTGACATGGGACTTCACCTTCCTTGTGGGCCGCCCGGTGAATCTTGTTCGCTTCTTATTTGCATGCTTTCCAGGGCCTAACATCGCCTCATGTTTTCTGTACGTATTATATAGTATATGTATATATTATAATTAGTATATATATTATATAATATATATATATATACACATCATACATATATGTATGTCTAATTAAAGTGTGAGAATGCATCGGATCTATCCGGTCTTTTTGAGGTGCTTGGCTACACTCATGCTGGTGTCTTGGGTTCACAACAGTACCCTTGCTGTCGACACCAGGTTGAGATCCTGCATCTATATGCTGTACTTTTTCACCCATATACACTTATTTATAACGATGTATCATAATACGCATTGTCAAGTATACTCTTGCTTGTGGACTCCCCTGCTGCAATCTTGATTGATATTTGGCTCAAGGAACCAAACCTGGAAAGCCAGTCTTACGAGCGCAAGCCTTTTTCTGGAGTGGCTGGGGCCAAACTGAGGGGCCTCGCCGTTCCCGGGGATCGTTGGGTGGGGCGTGAGCCATTGGACATGGCTTCATGTCGATTTTCCACATTGCTGCCTCTAGATCCACTCAAGATTTGCTACGCAGACCCATTATTTCTGTGCCTTTTAGGGCGCAGAAATCTAGTAGCTGGCTGATCCAAGAGTTTCAGGGGAATCTGGCAATCCCAAAGCATGCTCTGCCCCAACATGTGCCAAATCGATCAATGAAAGGTATCCTTTCAAGCCTTGAGCCAGGGAACTCACCCGCCGCAGTTGGTTTGCAAGACGCTGGCTTTGTGACGGGAGGATTTGTTGGGCTCTTGACAGATTTTCGACATCTTTTGATGGGGAAATCCATGTTCAGATCCCTGAAAGATATGATTTTTGGACCATCCGAGCGGCCTGTATATACTCAGGTACCGTATAGGGAGTGTAGGCCTCAAAACGGGGTATGCTTTCCGCAGCAAGTCCGCGTGGAGTGGGGGGCGGTTGGGGGCCCACATAAGCCAACTCTCAGGGCATAGAAGTTTGACTTGGATCTAGTTGGAGCGAGGAAGCATCCAATTCCTGTTGAGGCCAAACTCCTCGATTCCAAGGTCGTCAAGTTATCTCAAGTCTCCAACAGCATCAGAAATCCACCTGTCAGGAGCCCAAAACCTCTATGCCTGAAGGACGAAGAGGCCAAGAGATCGGTGCAGGAAAGACAAGAGAACAAACCTCGGGTTTTGAAACACTGGGGTCCCTTCTGTTCCAATGTTTTATTTTGCGACATTGTTGTTAGGGAAATGAACTGACTCTCAACAGTCCTGTGCAAAGAGTCTGGGAGTGTCCTGTCACCAGAAGAACCATCTCATGCTCAACGACATGGGGGAGGAATGTGCACAGGAGTCAATGTGCACCTGAGCAATCCAATGCGAACCATTTCTTTAAACACAACCAGCTTTCCTCCTTGTGAGATCTGAAGATGAAGTGAGACTTGTCAGATTTGTGCATGCCACATCTTGGAAGCACCATATAGAGGGACCAGAGGATTCTTCTGGAGGATGGTGAGGAATCTCTGCAGACCCACATTCTCATGCCAAAACTATAGATCCTCTTTTGGAAGCTAGACTCCAGGCATATGGCGTGTAGCTTCCGCCTACTGCCAGATCCTGGCCCACGATTTGCCAGGCATCCAGCGATGGCTGCTCATGCCCGGACACCCAGCAATCTGGGCCGTGTACCGTACGGTCGACTGGACGGTCGGCGCAGTTCAGCAAACGAAGTCTGTCTCCCTGGGCCGGTCTGCAGTTCAGCGGACCTGTTCCAAAAGGCTGGTTCTGGCAGAAGTGATATGAATGGTATAGAATGCTATAGAGATATATACGGACCTGGGGGACCCTGTGTGCCAGGAACCTGCCTCTGGCAAGGACTGGGGATGAAACTGATGTTCTGCAGCGCGATCAGTCCGACTCATGTTTGACATGTCCTTCAGGATTTATCAGGCCTCACTTTATAATAGTATTAAGCAATTCCTCACGCCATGTATGCATGTATATATTTATGAGGCTTACGCCTGACAGCCGGGCGCCGGCCTATTTGGGTTTGGGTATGTGCAGGGCTGAGTCCTCTCTCTCTCTCTCTCTTTCTCTTTCTCTTTCTCTCTCTCTCTCTCTTTGAGACTTGGTGGGGCCTATATTGAGCAAAGTTAAGCTATCTGGCGCGCATCTTGGTCCTAGGTTGGGCCAAGTTGAGCCCATGTGGTCTATGTTGGGCGCATCTTGGGCCCAAGTTGAGCCTATGTTGGGCCTAGGTCGGCCTATGTTAGGCCTATGTTGGCCTAGGTTGGGCCTATGTTGGCCCCATGTTGGCCTATGTTGGCCCTATGTTGAGCCATCTTGGAGGCTATGTTGGGCATATGTTGGCTATCTTGTGTCTATGTTGGGGATATGTTAGGCAACTTATGTGCCCAACACCCACGAAATGTCGATTAAGCCTGTCCGCGCGGCACGCATAACCGACACCACCGGCGCCCTGTTAGGCGAAAGTCGTGGACGTCGAAAGCCACGAAACACTGTAAAACACGATGTTTTTGAACATTTTTTGAACATCCTGCGCAAGATACATATAAATCTGTCGACCAGATTTGGGCGGGGGTCGACCGGGGGTCGACACGGGGTCGGGCGGAGGTATCCCCGCGGTCGAACAAAAGGGTCGGCGGCAGGGGCGGCGAGCGTATATAACCTTCGGTTACCAACCGAAGGCCTCCGGCAAGGGAACGTGCGCGTGGCCGGCGCCCGGACTTAAGAGGCTTACGCCTGACAGCCGGGCGCCGGCCTATTTGGGTGTGGGATATGTGCAGGGCCGGTGCCTCGTTTGCAACATGGGGCCAACGTGCGGCAACATAGGCCCAACCCAGGAGAACATATGCCAACATATGCTAACATAGGTGTAACATAGTTTCAACATGGGTTTAAGATGTGCTCAACAGACACCACATGGGCCCAACTTGGCCCAACCTAGTGCTAAGATGCGCACCAGATGGCCAAACTTTGGTCAGTATAGACCCCACCAAGGCTCAAAAAAAGAGAAAGAGAGAGACAGAGAACCCAACCTTAAGATCCAAAAAAGCCGCATCCAGAGGGTGTGTGTAGGGCACGGCACTTTCTCTTCTCTGTCGCTCTTGCTTTGTCTTCTTGATTCTTTCTCTCCCTTTCCCTTTTTGTCTGTATCTGTCTCTGTCTTCGTCCTGGTATCTCTCTCTGTGTCTCTCTCTCTTTTTTTGTCCTTGTCTTTCACTTTCTTTCTGTCTCTCGCTGTCTCTCCCTCTCCCCTCTCTGTTTGCCTCTGTGGCCGTCTCTGTTTCCGTCGCGGCATTTGTCCTCTATCCCTGCTATCAGGCTGTGGGGGAGCATCGCTCTCCCACCCTCGTGTACGACGGGGGCCGGGACTTCGGGCGTCCCGGCAGCATCCTTCGCAAGAAGGGGGCTGACCGCCCGGGTGCACAGTAAGTGCACCGAAGGTCGGGTGAGCCGTCGAAGACAACCACAGGCAGACACAAGGTTGCAACTGAGGTTAGTGGAAAGAACAGATTCCGTTAACCAGAGCCACCAGCAAAAGGGTTGAAAACATTTCTTGGACACATCCTACGAAAGTCCGGAAGCAAAAGCGTGCGAAACCAGATCGCATCTGTAGACGGTAGTCGTTGGAAAGGGTGAGAAATCAAAAACCGTAGAGTTCATAGAAGGTGAAGCCGTAGAGCGTTTTGTTTTTCTCTCTCGTTCTCTTTCTTTTACTCCCTCCGTCTCTGAACGAGAACTTCCTAGAGTGAGTAGTAGCCATCACGAACCTAGATACCGAAAAGTAAAACATACGTATAATGGCTAGATAGTTTTCTCGACCCCGCACGACGACTCGATCGGTCCGAACATCGACGAGTCGCTATGGACCATCACCTGCGAGGATAGATTGGTTTAGTTGTGTCAAAAGACAGCCTCATTCAAAAGTATCACCCATAACAAGTATGCTCCGGAGCAAGAGGCACGTTTGTAGGTAGGGTTGGATCGTTTCACTCGAAACCACAATCTACCGAATATCTGCGTTTGCCCGGCTCGCTTAGTACAGACTGGAGTGGAGAGAACGGACTGCTAGAGAGACGGGAGAGAACTGACTGCGAGCGACTCACCGTGGCTCGCTTAAGAGAGACTGAACTGCACTGACTGCATGGCTCGCTTAAGAGAGACAGGAGAGAACTGACAGCGCTGGTTTTGTGTCAAAAGTCTGTGTCCCCGTACCCGACACCCCAACCGTGTGCCAGGTGCTGGATGACGAACGCCGTCGCTCTTTCGCAGCATGGAGGACAGGCCGGCGAGTTGAGCGTGTTTGAAGGGAGGGCAGCCTGGCGAGTTTATTGCGTTTGCGGGTCGCCTGACATGATTGTCGCCCGCACGCCTGACATGTTTGCGGCGTGCCTGGCTTGTGACTGCAACCCTGCCATGTTTGGACTGTACCAGAATTCCCGCGAAAGAGTTCGCCCCGCAGAGAGCAGCTTTTGTTGCTCGTGGTAAGTGTAGTATGAGAGTTTGGCTGGAGACGCGACGCAGAGCATCGCTCGGCGTCGAGACTGATGCGTTGGGGAAGAGGCTTGATACGCCTGAGCGTAAGATCGAAGCCCAGCGGCAGCTGCGAAGCCGGACGCTTGCAGCGCCGCTCCAGAGAAGGTGGCGACGACATGTTTATAGGACAAACACAGTGAAGGAGAACAATTGACTGAAACTGAAACCAGGCAGTTAAGTAAACCAAAGAAAAACACAGGGAGCGAAGGTGAGAAGCAAAACGTGAGGGGTGAGCATAAACACCGTCGAACCTGCAAGTGCAGGTGTGCACTGTCGCATCGTTGTTCGTTGTCGCTGCACTGTTTCAGTCCAAACCAAGAAGCTATAGGTGCAACAACATCAACATAAGTCGGTGTTGAAGCGGGAACGTATATGTAGGCCACAACAACAGCCATTCACACGGAGGACACGCATAGGTTTTTCCATCCCACAGAAGGTAAGTCCACGACAAGTAACCGAGCTCGCAATCACGGTTGCTGAGATCCAGACGTCACGGCAGCAAAGTTATCAGAGTGACTAGCTAGGGAAACAAGAAAGTAACGCAAGCAGTCACAACCTCACGTCGCTGTCGCTCATGGACCCAAAGAGGAAAACCATGAGAAAGTGGTATGTGGCTGCAATTCGACTCGTTCGTGAACGAGCAGCAAGTTTTGCCACGTGGTGCTGGATGTTTTGCACGGTTGCTTTCGGCGACTCGCCCACACGGCTGCGTCGTCGACAAAGCTGCGATGTCCGACCCACCACATCCAGCCTAGCAGTGCACGCAGGCAACCTGCACACACAATCGACCTACAGAATCACTGCGCTCACCCGCAGCATGATGTTCCTGCCTGCGTTTGTTAGTGCAGCTATGACAAAGTGGTGCGTGGTAGCAAATAAACTCGTCAGTGAACAAGACATAAGTTTTGCCATGCGCTGCTCGACAGTTTGGAGGATCAGTCTAGTCGAAGGATGCAGACGCAACCTTTGCCGAGGCGGGCGCCATGGCCGGCCCACCAAATCCGGCAGAGCAAGTCATGCAGATAACAAGCACACACACTGGACCCGCAGAATTCCAGACCGATACACGATGCTCACCTGGGGCATAGCTCTAGTGTCTGCGTTCGTAAGTGCTAGCACTAACCGCATAAACCCAGTGTTTGTAGTCCACCTCTGCACTTGTGTTTTTGCATGCCAAGCACTGCGAGCTCTAGCAAAGGGTCGGTGTCCGACGGGTTGGATCAAGAAAGCCCGCGTCGCAGGCAGAACTCGCCTGAAAGCACGGCGGCGACAGACACAGCCTCTGCATAGGATGCAAGTGTTGTTGGCGGTGTTGGTGGTTTTGAGTCCCGGCACCATACACTGTGTTCATACTGTAGGCTACAACGACACTTCTAAAGCCAACAACATGTGGTGCGTCGCTCGCAAGCTCCGCAATCAATTGATGCGGGCACTGCATGGGAATACGATGCACCCAGCAAAAAGGAGGACGACAGAAAAGAAAGGTGTGGATAATGCAACTTGCTCAAGCACTTACCCAGCAACGAAATCTGAGAGTTCGAACCCAACACCTTTGAAGAAGCTGAAAAATGCAGCTGAAGCTAATGTTGCACAGTATGGTTTGTTGACGTCGGCATACAGCCCGGCGCACAACCAGTCCGCAGAAGAAGTTGTTGACTTGGATCAGCTAGCACAAGCTCGGATCGGGTGTGACATCACCAAAGTGCCCGGCGACGGATGGTGCTTCTTTCATGCCGTTAGTCGGCACTGCAGCAATTGGAACACGTGGTCGATAACGCACGCCGCAGAATTGTACCTGCAGGCGTTGGAGTGGTTGTGCAATCAGAAATATGGTCCAAAGGCAGAAGACGTTCAGCTTGCCTGCGTGCCCTTCGATGATCGAGAACTCGAGTTGCATAAGCAGTATCTTCTGCGCGCGCACAAATCCAACCCGAGCTTAGCAGAGCTCACGGACTCAGAGATTGTGCTTTTGAGCAAGCTAGTTGCGGTGCTACAGAAACCGCGTGCCTTGGACTCCATCCACCATGGGTCTTTCGTCGAACTATGGGCGCTCGCAGAGACATTCGATTTTCACTGCCTGATTTGGAGTCAGGACGTG